ACTAACAACCTTGCAAACAAAGAACTAAGAAAGATTTATGGCTATTGGGTTTGGCTTTAGCACTAGGAATCAGCTGTGGCCCTGGCCCAGGTATTGATAAAAGAATGTATTTTTCCTAAAAGTTTAATTAACCAGATGTATATGATGCTTAAACAACTGTAAGTATTAACACACACACACACACACACACACACACACACACACACACACACACACACACAAACACATGTATGCATGCACACACACACACACACACACAAACACACATGTATGCGTGCGCGCGCGCGCATGCGCGCGCGCACACACACATACATACAAGCTAGGATTTTGTTTTAGTTTTGAAATGAGAGGTTTTTCATTTACGACTACTTTAGAACTGAAAATCATTTTGAAAAAAATGCAACTGTTGATTAACATAATAGAAGCTATCAAAGTAACAAGTTTATAAACAAAGAAGAAATAAGTTTTTATGACATGATAATTAAGACCAGATAATATATGTGTGGAAATATTCCAGATGAGCATTTTAAAAATCCAAAATAATGTATATGTGTTTGAGTTATTTATTTTTATTTTACTATTTATTTTATTTTAAAGATTTATTTGTTTATAACATTTTACACGTTTGTCTGAATGTATGTCTATGGACCAAAAGCATGCAGTACCTGTGAATGCCAGAAGGGGGTGTCAGATCCACTGGAATTGGAGTTACAGGTGGTTGTTAGTCATTATGAAGGTGCTGGGATTTGAACCAGGGTCCTCTGGAAGACTAGCCTATGCTCTTAGCCATGGAGCTATTTCTTCAGCTCATTGCATGTATTTATAATCTCAGAAAGGAGAAGTCCAAATAAAACTAGTTTTGTCATGGCTTTTTCTCACTTGTGTCCAGGGTTGGAGTTTGTTAGGGAAAAGAAACTACAATTCATGGATAACTAATGTTAATGTTAATATTTGTTGTCATCAGCCACCTTCTAACCTGAGTCACCAACAACCACTTCTGAATAATCTTTGAAGAATTGTGTGTGTTCCCCAAAAGACAAACAACATAAACAGAGGAAATTCTATTTATCCACTAATTAAAAAAAAAAAAGATGGTTACATTTTCCTTGTAAACTGATTATTTCTGGTTAAAATACAGTAGGTATCCACAGTGCCCTTTCTTTCATATTCTGTGCACAAAGTGCCTGTTACCTGTTGAAACTCAACCCTGGTCTAATATTTCTGTTATTGGTCCTGGGAAACTCCCTAGCCTGTCAGCAAAGATGTCAGAAAAATCCAGCATTGCTCGTGGACTAAGAGGCATCTTTGTCACCCACGATGCAATGGCTGCTAAAAACAGGAAGCATGGCGGGGATGCAAGTGTGGATAAGGGAGATGAGCTGTTGTCCAAGCAGCAGGGCGAATCCAGCAGGCCAAAGATGACCCAGCCAGAGCCTGAGTGCTGATTGCCTCTTCTCTCCATGTTTGATGAAATATTCATGCTTCTGCCCTCCTCTCTGCAAGCACTATTGATTCCTTGTATAAACGCTGCTATATTTAGTCTAGACAAATGGAATGTGGATCACTGCTGAATAAATTGGATGAAAGACTGGGATCTTGCCTGCCGCTTTTTCTCAGTCTTGGGCAATTATTTATAATCAAGGGCAGTTTTTGTAAGCTGAGGGTGATTTTTCACAATTTAGTGATTAGTCTGTGAACAAAGGCAAGCAGTTAGACACAGTCATTTCTGTTGGGATAGCAGGTTAAGAAGTCAAATTACCCTTTGAGGTTTGCGATGACTGTTACAGAGCACTGTGGGATTTTATTCCTTATCTTTTTTCTTGTTTGTTTATTTGAGTAATTTTAGGGGTTTGACGTTTATAGTTTATGAACAATAAAGAAAGCTCAAGGGTCTTTTGAATTATTTTATATTTTGTGTTTATAGGGTAAGATTCTGACGTTCGCTTATTAAGATTTCCATGAACAACACTGAGGACTATAGTTTGGCCTATTAAAGATAAAAATGAAGTATATTGTTAACAAAATTACTTTAGGCTGGATTCATGAGAATTCTGAGTTAATGTTCAAACTCTCACATCACTCCACAGTCTTGACTAGAAGTTCTGCATTGCCCATTACAGCTAAGAGACCTAGGCAACCATCTTGTTTTCAAACTTGTCACAATTCATTCATTTGTTTGAACAAGGGTAATGTCATAAAAAGTCACTGTCTGTCAAACCATAGTTTATTAATAAATCATTTTCCGATCATCATTAAGTTGCTACATGCAGTATTGATAGTTCAAACTTCAGATCTACACATTGAAAAACAGCCACCATTGGTAAAGGAAGATTGGTAGCAGTCTACATGACTGCGCTCATACATGTATGCAGCATAGCTTGATTGGCACTCACAAGCATTCACATGTGAGGCCTGGCATCTCTAAACAGGATAACTGGGAGTTTTCCTTTAAGCCCTGAAAATAAATCATAAATCTGCATAGAGTACAAACTTGATAATTCCCAATCTGGGATGTTTAAACCTATGTAGATGTGGAACATGCAAAAGTGATGAGTATTTCTAATAATTTAAGAGATATGGAAAGCTGAAGACAAGTAGAGTCAAGGTCACCCAGATTCTCACCCAAAGTACTGCTGTCATCTGTCCTCTATGTCACTCTTTGCATCAGAACTTATGGACTAGTGTAACTGAGAAGTCTGTGTGTGTGTGAGTGTGTGTGTGTGTGTGTGTGTGTGTGTGTGTGTGTGTGTGTGTGTGTGTGTGTACATGCATAGTTATGGCTGGATATTTTGTCTTTTCTTGCTCTCAAGTCCTGAGGCTCAACGGTTAGAATGATGTCTAATATTTAAGGGGCTCAATAAAGATTTATGTCATTTGGTTATCATAGTGTAATTGCCAGTTTATTACTGATTTTTAAGGATTTATTTTTTAGGGATTCATATGTTTTTGAGCATGTGTGTGTGAGTGTGCATGTTTATATATCTGTGATGGCATATGCACATGCATGCACATATTTGTGGAGGCCAGAAGACAACCTTGGGTATCATTCCTTAGTTGCAGCAGTATCTGTCACTGGCCTGAACTCACCAAGCAGTCTTGGCTGGCTGGTCAATGAGCCTCAAGGATCTATCTACCTGTCTTCACCTTCCCAGTACTAGGATTACAGGCATGCAACACCATTCTCAACTGTTGTTTATAATGTAGGGATTGAATTGGTGTCCTCATGCTTATAATTTATCAACTGACCTCTCTCCCCAGCCAATGACTACTTTTTTTTTTTAATCAAATGGATATGACATGGTTTATTTAGGTGTTCTTCTAGTTGGTGACTACGATGTTAATAATAAAAATCTCCAGATTACAACACAGCATTGAAGCTTTTTCTCCTTAGGATTGTCTCTGTGTGACTTACTCCCAGAGGTGCCAAACCTGAATCAAATGATAGAAATGTTTAAGACCTCATGGTTCAAATTGTAGATTTCTAATATTTATAGAAATCAGCGTTTTGTTTCAAGAGTTGCTTATATGGTTTTGATCTGCTAGCCAATCATTATTGGTGAATTATTTTAGTGTACAGAAAATTTCCATTTTTATATAAAAGACAAAACCAAAAATTTTTACTAAAAGGTGTGCTGTGCATACTCTGAGTGACTGTCTTCATATGAGCCTTTAATTACTGTTCTTATGATCATCTCTGCTTTAGTGGTGATGAGGCTGAGGCTTGGTGGAGATAACAGCATTCACAGGCTTATGCAAGTAGGGGAATTGTAACAAGCATTGGGTTTCAGAATAGAGGTTGAAACTGGCAGCTTGCATGTCCTGGTTGACTTACTGAACCATTTTCCTAGGCTTCTCAGAAAGTTAAAGTATTTTAAATATTTTTGCAATTAAAATTTCTGGTTATTTCTGTCTATGCTGGGTGTTAGAGCTAAGTAGTGGCTCACTAATTTTATAGAGGTATAACCCTGACTTCCAAAAGAGCCATTGTCTTTAACTTGACCTGTTTCACATAATTATAAAATTTCCCTGATTCCTCCAGGTAGATGTATTCCTCAGATTATTTAACCATCAGTTTGGCCTGGGCACTGACCAATCAGAGTAGACATTAGTCATAAACAACCACCATCTGGAGAGCTTCTCGGGCTATGGTTTCCCTGCTTAAAATTTTCTTTCAGGGGGCAGTATGCTTATCTACTCAAAATGTGCTAGACACTTCATATATATTATCAAAATCAATTTTTATAAATTTAAATATTGTCTTCTAAAGTTATACTTGGGTCATCAGGTTTTTTTTTTTCCCTTTGGTGGTTTGATTAAATATTTTCTTGAAGTTCTCTCATTCTTCTTCCTCTCTTGTTTATTTTAAGAATGAGGTTTCCACGATTTAAATGATTACTATTTAAAAACCAGTACTTAGGCACTTGGCTGCTCTCACTTCTTCATGTGTAGACTTGGCCCGTTGTTATGGTTAATCACCATTATCTGGATTTGGATGTAGATTGTCCCCTTTTCTTCCCTAGGTCTGGTGGTGATGCAGATGTATTGCATTGCCCACTTATCTTAAGGTAGAACTCATCTTCTATCCTTGATTATAAAACTTTTTATAAGTCTATGAATTGAGTTGTGACAGAAGTTCCCTTTTTGTATGACATCTTTCTTTCATCTTGCATTTCTTGGTCTTCATTGGCTTAAGTTTGTTCAGTGGTCCAGTCTAATAAATTTTATGAATGATTTTTGATACCAGTAGTTGAATCCATCTGTTTGAAAACAGACAACTGTAGAAAGATTCAGAGCAGAATGCATGCTACTGAGTGAAAAGTAACCCTTTACCAAATCTTATGTAGAACACAAATTTTACATTAGTGTAAAGCAGTGATTGTTCTGTTCCTTTATGAGTGTGCTCATGTGTGCTGTAGGAGACAGTGTTCTTTGTTTACAAATCGGTGTGCTAATTTCCAAACCTCTGTCCCCGGTCTCTGTCTTCTTTCCTGTGTCTCCAGTGGATGTGAAATCAGAGGTTCCTATGGGCCTGGAGCCCATCTCGCCTTTAGACCTAAGGACAGACCTCAGGATGATGATGCCCGTGGTGGATCCTGTCGTCCGTGAGAAGCAACTGCAGCAAGAGCTGCTTCTTATCCAACAGCAGCAACAGATCCAGAAGCAGCTCCTAATAGCAGAGTTTCAGAAGCAGCATGAGAATCTGACACGGCAGCACCAGGCACAGCTTCAGGAGCACATCAAGGTAGCAAATGTGTCTTTGTCTCTGACCATCCCGATCAGGGCATCTGCACCACGCTGTGGGCACAAGGCCAGCACACGCGAGCACTGATGGGGAAGTTCACTGGGGTTAGGACATGGATGTGTGGCTTGAAGGAAATTGTGGTTGTACTAGTTGGAAACTTGGGTAAGTACCTGGTAAGCACTTGCTTGGCTGTTGGGAGAGCTCTGCCACTCCTACCTTTTACCTTACAGATTCACCTGGAGTGACAGGAACTTGCCATTCCCATGTATACCCTCTCCTGTGTGTTCCCTTTCCCCTGTAGTCACCACCAAGGTGACTGAAAGGCCCAGGTTATGCTGCTAAAGAAGCTATGTGCACTATTTATCAAGAAGGGTAAATTCATCTTGTGAATAGAAACAGCCCTCTTCTGCTGTTTGGTTGGTTCTCAGTCTAGGTCAATACAAGTTGTTCCTTATAGGAATGATATCATATGGCATATAATCAAAATAAAAATATAATAATATAATGAAAGGTTGAAGGGATTTTTGTTTGTTTGTTTTTCGAGACAGCGTTTTTCTGTGTAGCTTTGCGCCTTTCCTGGATCTAGCTCTGTAGACCAGGCTGGCCTCGAACTCACAAAGATCTGCCTGCCTCTGCCTCCTGAGTGCTGGGATTAAAGGCGTGTGCCACCACCACCAGGCGAAGGGATTTTTATATGTAAAAACTGGATAAATATTTTAATGTTTTTATAGACTGTTATGTCAGGGGAAATATAACAATAGCTCAGAATTTTTGCTGACATCTGGTGATTGTATATGTGCCAAATTACTTTTTTCTTCTTTGGTGTATTCACTGGAAAACATCACTGTAGCTTTACTAGTTTTTTGTTTGTTTGTTTGTTTTAATAATTGGCAAGGATATTTATCAATAGAGATCTTGCAGGGGATGGTGGCACATAGTCCTCATCTCAAAACTTGGGAATTGGAGAGGGAAGATCTAAACTTGGAAATAACCTGGGCTCCAGAATGAGCCAATGTTTTAAAATTGTAAGAAAGCACAAGGATGTTTTGGTTCAATAAAATAGATATTATTAAAAGCACAAAATATTTACAGTAAAATTTTATTTTATAATCAACTCCTTCAAAGATGACTTAAGGGTAATAATCAATAGAATTATGCATTTTGTTGTATTTTATTATATTGTATTTTAGTCATGTAATCTCTTATATATCAAGTACAAATATATGAATATGGCATTGATATAGATAACTAAATTATAACACTAAATTATAATGTCTGAGAAGGTAAAAGTGCTATTTTCTTCCCCATTTTCCTTGTTCTGCAAGATATATTATCTGCAGAGAAGGCTCTTCAATGACTAATGTAAAATATAGTCTCTTTACTAGTGAAGTTTACTGAAGACTTTCATAGTGTTGCCCTATGAAACACATTTAAAATAAGAATGAAGGACTTTCTGTGTGTGTCCCCAGCGACATTGTTGTCTCATGCCTGTATTTTGCATATGAGTGGCCTTCACTGAGTTTGTACATTTATTTTTGAATAAATGCCAAAGTGTTCTTTCACGTTGACCCTTGAACCAGTAATAGAAGCATTGATGTCTAGGTTGCTTTCCCCAGTCCTTCCAGGCATCTTAACAGAGCCATGAGGCGTGAGTAAGATTACATTCATCCCCATGCTTCAAGATCTGAATAACTATATGGCTCATTTTCTTTTGTGTTTGAGTCGCTTTCCCTGAGTACCAAGCCATGCTGATAAGCTACTTGCATTGTCTGGTTTTTGATTTCTTTTCATTAATGTTTGGTGCCATTGTTACTGCTAAAGTCACTTGTGAGTAATTTATCATTTGACCACTCAGAACCTAAGAGTAGCAAGTAGGTAATTGCTTCTGTGGCACAAACAAAATAACATGGCAGGTTGATTGGCACCTGGAAAAGAGGCACTCGAGAGAGTAAGAATCATGAGATGGTTAAAAGGGAACTGTAGCTTTAAGAAGATGGTTTCCCTACATAGTGCATTCTTTTGTTAGAGGCTGAAGATGTGTTTACATCTTTCTTCTTTTAAAGATTAGGAAGTTATATATTCCCTTAACTTTTTTATTTTGCTTTGTTACTGCCTTATGGGTAACATTAATTTAGATTTATTTGCATGAGGAAGACAGTACCTCAGGATTTAGTGGCATTAGCTTTTGAACGCTGGTTCTTCTTGCAGTCAGCACCTGCTGCCTTCTATTCTAGTCTCCTAGTTTCTACCTAGCCAACTGAAGTAGAGACTTCTTCAGTAGTAACTCTGCAAAGCCACACAGATAGTGGCTAGAATGTAGGTGCTCAAAATTGTGTTGTCTTCGCTAGTCTGTCCAAAAAGCTCCTAAGTCACCATGGCTCATTCAGGCTAAAATAGAAATAAACACGTTAAGTTTTACTTCGTTTTAATTTTTTAGACATACCCCATTTCCATAATCTTTGTTGTAAGTAGTGACTATGGTAATGAATGTGTATGTATGCTTTTCCATTTCTAGAAGGAATTATAGTTCGATTTCATTGAAGTTTTGGATAAAGTATTGAATCAATTTGACCAGTCTCGATATTGATATAGAATTGACATTGTAACAGAATTTAAACATAACTATGGGTTCCTAAATAACAGTGATATATTTGAGAACATCCATTAAGTGGCTGGTATATAAAAACAAAGCACCAAGATATTAAGATATAATATGGAGAATAAACAGAAATACTCCTAACCATATGCTTTAGATTGGGTAAGGCTGCCATACTTAGCATAAAAAAATGGCCCTCTTGTTGCTCCAGCAAGAAGGTCCTGATAACATTCCACAGAGCTTTAAATTTTTGTTCCATTATTTGCTATAAAATACAGCTTTTTAGATAACTAATATTCAAAAGGATAAATTATGCTTTAGTTATTAAGCAATAAATAGTAATAATTGAAATGATATCATTCAAAACTAAAACCTAAATTTCACATGAATTATGTATATGATCTGTGAGAGACGTTATTGTCTTGCTTATAATGAACCGAGGTTCAGAGTAGCTTTAGTATCTTGTCAGATCTCAGACCTGGTAATGCCAGACGCTAAATAGGATTTGAGAGACTTGTTCTTCAGTGCGTACTTTTGCTTTTCTTCAGATATATGTAACTAAAAGGAAACTGACACCTTAAAACACCATAACAAATAACCTCATCTTTTTGTTATGTATGGTTTGAAGTAAATTCAGAGGATTCAGAAAACTAGACATGAATGCATGGAAGTACAGTTTGTGGAAGTGACTTCTTTTGGATCTATGTCTCTAATCTAGAAGTTTTCCTGTGTTAGATGACAGTTCTGAACTTCCTGTTATCTTCTAGAGAAGTATATAGATGTGTAGGTCACTTCACTTTAACAAGAACTTTCTCTGTGAAGGGTGTAGTCAGTGTTTGTACTGTTTCGGGCAGGCTTTCCCCAAAGTAACCCCCACTGCTGTCCTATCCGCGGCAGTTTTATACTGTATCTCAAGATAAGAACTGATTGTCTATTTATAGTGTGAGAGACTTTGTGAAATAGACATCTGGGCTGTCTCCGCCTTTGCATGTTCCTATGTTTTGTAGACACACATGGAAAGAAGCTAAAGGTTCAAGTCAACAGCATTCACATGACCTTAGTGAATTTGGTAATAATTTTTGATAGGGATCCACAAATGATGAAATTATCTGAAAGCTTACTTGTTGTAGATATCAAAACCTTTTAGTTTCCTGTCTTTATATTTCAATCATAATAAGGTGGTTGAAGCACAAACTAAATACTATCAAGTTCCAAAAGTTAAAACATTGCGATTTGGGGCAGTGAGTGATGACTTTGAAGCTTAAAGAAATTGCACACTCTCATGTCTTTCTCTTCTCGCAAGTTGCAACAGGAACTTCTAGCCATAAAACAACAGCAAGAACTCCTAGAAAAGGAGCAGAAACTGGAGCAGCAGAGGCAAGAACAGGAAGTAGAGAGGCATCGCAGAGAGCAGCAGCTTCCTCCTCTCAGAGGCAAAGATAGAGGACGAGAAAGTAAGAGGCACCAGGGTAACGGACGCACCCTCTTCCCGAACCTCAAGGAACCGATAAACCATGGAAATAAGCCTGTCCAAACTGTCCTTGTCTAGTCAAAAGAATAACCTGTAGACTAAACTGCCCTCTCCTATCAGCTCTGCAGAGCATAATGAGAAATAAACAGCATTGCCAAAGACACAGGCTTGTTCTTTGGACTTTAAAAATACCATCACACTAAAGTGATTGAACGTAAGACTCCCTTTTCGGTAATAAAGTTATGTCTACATGTTTTCATTTCTTCTCTCTTCCTGCCCAAGCAGTCCACGTTCTGAACATCATAATGTGCCTCCTTCCCTTTTGTTGTTCTTAAACACAAGGCAGAACATTTGCAAAATTATGGTCCACAAGAGGGAGACAGATCCAAATAATTGCCCTCTATCCAGTCAGTTCAAACTCAGGTCGTTGCAAAGTTTAAAGTGTGGTGATTTGAACTGAAATTATCAACAGAATATATTTGCTTAATAATCAAATGAATTTTAAAACAATGTTGATTTTTTTTAACAAGAAACTCAGAAGTGATCATTTTAATGTATTGTAATAATCTACAACACTCCCCGAGATTCTTGATTTAAAAAAAATAAAATTAAAAACTAGAATTTTATTCCTATTTATTTTTTGTTTTTGTCAATTGTGGATTGAACATAGGGCTTCACAAATACTAGGCAAGCATTGTACCATTAACTCCCCAACCCTCAGCAATTTTCTTTTTAAACTTAAAGATGAATGGATGGTAGTTCTAGGAATTCTTTTCCTATAAAAATGATCAAAAAACTCATTGAAGGTATTTTGATAATTTGTAATGTAAGTAACAGTTACAGAACAGGACTCTGCCATTTTCTAAAGCCATTGTAGGTTCTGCTTTGTTTTATTTTGTTTTGTTTTGTAGGAAAATTCCATATGCTGTGGCCAGTGATATTTCCTCATAACTGTTGTTGAGTATTCTTGAGTGGTGGGAGGACGTAACTACAGGCGGTGTCTGTTTCCCTGTGTGTGTTTCAGGGGCAGTGGCAAGTACAGAGGTAAAGCAGAAGCTTCAAGAATTCCTGTTGAGTAAATCAGCAACAAAAGACACTCCAACCAATGGAAAGAATCATTCCGTGAGCCGCCATCCCAAGCTCTGGTACACGTATGTTCTGTGTTTAGCTGTTTTCCTCCTGAGGGTAAAGAGCACAGGTTCTACCTTAGGCTGACCTGGGCAGAAATCCTGAGCCCTGCCCCTTCTCAGGCTTGCATGGCTTTCTCTACACAAAGGACCACAGCACCTGCCTCTGGAGTTACTGGGAAGGTCCTGAGAAAAAATACAACGAAGTACATAGGGGCAAGCATTAGCGTGTGTCACTGAAGGCAGGGAGTACATTATCTTCTTTGTTGAATCTTCTCCTTCTCCTTCTCCTTCTCCTTCTCCTTCTCCTTCTCCTTCTCCTTCTCCTTCTCCTTCTCCTTCTCCTTCTCCTTCTCCTTCTCCTTCTCCTTCTCCTTCTCCTTCTCCTCCTCCTCCTCCTCCTCCTCCTCCTCCTCCTCCTCCTCCTCCTCCTCCTCCTCCTCCTCCTCCTTCTTCTCCTTCTCCTTCTCCTTCTCCTTCTCCTTCTCCTTCTCCTTCTCCTTCTCCTTCTCCTTCTCCTTCTCCTTCTCCTTCTCCTTCTTCTTCTTCTTCTCCTCCTCCTCCTCCTCCTCCTCCTCCTCCTCCTCCTCCTCCTCCTCCTCCTTCTTCTTCTTCTTCTTCTCCTTCTTCTTCTTCTCCTCCTCCTCCTCCTCCTCCTCCTCCTCCTCCTCCTCCTCCTCCTCCTCCTCCTTCTTCTTTTTCTTCTTTTTAATTTTGAGACAGGTTTCTCTGTGTAGCTTTGTGCCTTTCCTGGAACTCACTCTGTAACCCAGGCTGGCCTTGAACTCATAGAGATCCATCTGGCTCTGCTTCCTGAGTGCTGGGATTAAAGGCATGCGCCACCACCGCCCGGCTGTACCTCACTTCTTTCCACCCAGTGAAATAATGGTTTGGCTTCTGAGATGCAAACTGAAGACAAGATACACAGTGCTCACTTTCCTGGGACCATGCTTCCCAAGTCCAACAGAGATATTCTGTAAAATACACTTCTTTTCACTATGAGATAAGAATGAATTTTTTTTCAGAATCAGATCAAAGACTAGATATATAAATCACATTTTATAATAGGATAGAAGATAATGGGTTCATTTCTCTCATAAATGTGTTTGTTGAATGGCCTTAAGACTTTATATGTTTATTTTTCATCCCTCACATCAAGGACAGGAAGTATATCCTAACTATTTATAGAATTTAGAAGCATCCCAAGAGTTTTACAGAAAAGTTACTATACTTTGAAGTCTGTTTATAGGTATACACCCTCTTCTTTTCCCAAAACTGAGGTATCAGGCAGAGTACAAAAAAATCTTAGACATTTGAACAATTGTGTCCTATGTGTTTATCAGTTGATCTGAGAAACCAGTCAGTATAATAAAGTATTCTGAAAGAAATATAATTTTGTTTCCTAAAATTATCTGCAGAGTATGTGATTGATTCATTGTGCTTTCTAAGTTAAAACATTTTAAGAAAAAATCACATATTTCTAATGAGAAACAACTATTAACAAATAATTTATCTGCTGAAAATTCTTCAGCTGTTCCCTTGAGTATGTTAGACATGGCTCCTCATGTCAGCTCCTCTTTTCTTGTTTATATGGAATATAATTCCAGCTAACCATAAATCATTAATTTCAGGAATTAGCTCTGTGACTCTGGGAGATTTCCTTGAATTCTCAAATAATCAGTTTCTTCCTCTATAAAAAGGGCATAATGACACATTTTGATGCTTTTTACCAGTTAGAAGTATGTAAAATGACCTTAAATAATTGTTGAGAATGTATTTTTCAAATAAAGACCTGTAGTAGAACAGTGTGGTAGTGGCCCTGCGTCCTGGGCATTCTCTCCATCATATATGGTACTTGTGATGCTTGTATACACTGGGTAGTCTGAGTTAAGTCCTCTAAATTCTCCTTCGGTCGCACAATCGCTTCTTTTTCAATATAGCCATTCAAGAGAGAGAAAATATTTCAGAAGTTAGTTTTCTATTGAAGAGGAATGTGCTTTCTATTCTGCGTGTTAAGGTTGCCTGTGAGAGTCAGGCCTCTGAGGCCCTTGGCACTGTAACCTGCTCAGTACAAAGAGCCTCCTCATGCATTTGGCTGTGCTATCTGGCAGTGCCGAGGTCTTTGGACATGTTCTGTTCCCTTCCTCCATGGTTGTTCTATAATGATGACTCCAAAGGGTCCAAATGGTAGCTTTTATTTTATTTTTATTTTTTTAGTATAACAATCTCAGTTCTTCTAATGAAGTGAAATTTCCCGTGCGAATGAAGTGGGCATTGCTAGGAATCATGCATCATAGGAATCATGCATCATTCCATATTTGCTGCAGTGCCCTTGGATGCGTGAGGCTGTAGTTTGCATTCACTAAGGAGGAAGGACATAAATGCAGCTGGGACACACGGACAGCATGTGCAACTGATTGCTTCTGACTAACATGCACTGAAGTCGAGCATCAGTATTAACCTTCTTTATTGTTTTAGGGCTGCCCACCACACATCACTGGATCAAAGCTCTCCACCTCTTAGTGGAACATCTCCATCTTACAAGTACACATTACCAGGAGCCCAAGATGCCAAGGATGATTTCCCCTTGAGAAAAACTGGTAAGTTGGGATAGCAAGGAGAACACTGACTTTTTCATGACACACCTCCCGTTTGTGTTACTTCTAGATGAAAGTTAAAAAATTTGAAGTATAGGTAGTACACCCTACAGTCACAGGCTGTTGAAATGGACTTGTGCACAAGCATGTGCATATATAAGCTCCTGTACATATACAGTGGCACAGAGATTCGTGACTCCATTTTCCTTATTTCTGCATGAGTCCCATACAGTATTTTTGTAAGATTGAAAAGTTTATCTTATTTTGATTAGCAATAAATATTAGGATAAAGGAAAATAGGGATGTCATTCCTCAGAAAAAATACAACTTTTTCATTTTAAAGAACCTATCCTGTCCTCTAGAGAAATATTTCCTGTTTTATCCTTTCTTTAATCATTTAAACATGTCTGATAAGGATATTCTGTCCAACAATATTTTTTAATTTTAAAACTTCAAATGTCTATGTAGTGAACATCATGCTTCCTTCTGAGTAAGTTAGTTTCCTAGTGTTCTCCAGACTACTGACCTCAGTGAAAATGGGTCCCTATTAATCTACGTGTGAGGATACACAACTGCACCCATAGGAACTTACAGTAAAACTTGCTTGGCAAGTGTCATGGTGAAGTTTTATTTAGAATTTAATGGACAGTAACATCTCTCTAAGTCATATATATTTCTTTTCCCATCTCATGTTCCCTTTGAATGTCACTGACAAGTTATATTTAATATGTATATACTCTTCCCACTATAATTTAAATAATAGATAACAAGATTTGTGTACATTCTGTTCTAAAGCTTTCAATGTTTAGAAACTGTAGCTTTTCAAAAGATTTAAAATGCTTACATCCACAGCTTCCAAACAGGTATTCATAGATAGTTGAGTCTATTGTATTTTATTCAAGTCTTGTTGGGGTGTTTCATCTCTGTAATTTGTGTATAAAATCCACAGAGTGGTGATTTCAAATAATTATATTTATTTTTCCAAGCAATTTTAAGTAATTAAAATGGATGTGGATTGAACAAACACATGGTGAAACTAATTTCTGTCAGATAATTTACCTATGGCATAATGAAGATTTAAAAATAAAATCAATCGTGAATAAGAATTTATTACCTTTCATTCACTTTATGTGGTCCCAGATGCAGGAAAAGGGTGCTTAAGCTTCCCAAGGCAATCAGTGCCTTTTTATTCTTATAGGCTAGAGATTTTTATGTTTCTAGATGTTAGATATAGTTGAACACTTCAGTAGAATCCAATATAAAGAATGGCTGAGCTTCATGTATTGCATCTGAATTTTACGTTACTACCCATATATTGCCTTACCTTTCTTTAAGTGAAGTTCTCTAGGACAAAAGAAGGTAAAGAAAAGATCAAGGCTTTACGTTCTTCTAAACGTTGGGGTTTGTTTTGTGAAAATTGCTTCATAAAATGTGTGGGACTAACAGCCTTAATATTTAGTGGCGTGTGTTTTATTGACAAAAATTCTGTGAACATTTCCATAGTCAGGGAAGGACCTGCCATGGAATAGCCCAAGAAGTCAGGAGAAGGAAAGAACAGTCAGTCGTCTCCTAACACGTGATGCATTCAAAAGACCTGTGTCTTCTGAGCACTGAGACTACACACTGACTTTGAGCTGATAGTGCCCTCGAGAGAAGGGGCATCTGGGCCCCCAAGCATCCACAAAGAAATTAAAAAAAAAAATCTAAGGAGTACTAAGAAGTTGGTGCTTTAGAGCCTCCTGTTTCCATGAGAACAGTTTGGTTTTTCCCATGAGAAGAATGAATAACAGGCTGTTAATTTATTCTCATTGAAATTCCCAATCCACAACACAATCATGTTCAAAGTGCATGTTAAGATCCCTGATCTGAATGTGGGCACATATGTAAGAAGTACCCTCTACCTCTTTATGTGATAATACATGTGAAAATCCATAGCCTGTCTAATGGTATATTTTCTATAGCTGCCCGATATTTGAAATGTGTTTATTTTCTGCTGAAAATCTAATATTTACAAAGTATCAGGCTGCTGATCTGCAAAACCAAACATTTTCAAACATTGTAGCAATAAAGTTCTTGAACCACTGTTAATACTTTGATATCACTAGTTTTTCAGAATATTCCTTGTCCAGTTCCCAATGTCTGATTAAGAAAAGTGTGATGAAATAAACCACAGAAGTTTTCTACATATAAAAATACTTAGAGATGCTCTTCATTAATTACAAATAGGCAGAACTCTCCAATATCCAGACACATATCCATTTGATATATGCCAATTGTGTTGTGAGAAAATTAAGGCTCATCTTTGTCTTTCATTGATCATTGAAAAATTTCAATAATATTTCAATTATTAACTAAGACTTCAGCATTTGTTATATTCCACTGACTAGAATGTCACTTTGAAACATGTAAACAATAAAATTTTGCCATGATAAAATGTAAGTGGTGATTGGGGAAAGTGCTTATGGAAATTTTTGTATTATAAAGTTACATCACATTGAACTGAATCTAGAGAATTGCCATAGATCATTGAGGAAAAGTACCAGGACAGCTAATATACTCAGGCTTTGTCATTGCAGCCAGATTTTCAACTTTTGCTGTCTACTTGGATGTTACTCCCAGACTTAAAGGAACTTGTTAAATCAGTCACTTCTGTCTTTTGAGCTGCATAGAATACTATGTAATGTTTATTTCTTTCACCCCTACTGTTTATTGAATTGCTTGTATTTATTAGTAAGGTTTAGAGAATAAAACTGAGTAAGAAAAGTCTTCATGGCTTTAAAGAGAGCCCTGGGATGCCCCTTCAGCAGGGAGAACAATTTGGAAGCCCTCTGAGCTCTCTGGTCACCTGCCTTCAGACACGGACAACCCAGGTACCTCGAGCTATAGACGCCTTCGATTCTCACAGGATCTGAACTTTCTCATGCAAAGTGGACCTTTGCTTCCCTCCTCTTGGGAGGATCAGAGTTGCCCCCAATCTGTTTTCGCTAATAAGGTCCATTTGCTTTCTTTTAAAAAATAATTTATTTTTATTATATGTGCATTGGTGTTTTGCATGCATGACAGTGTGAAGGTGTTGGACCCCTGGAACTGGATACAGACAGTTGTAAGCTGCCATGTAGGTGCTGGGAATTGAACCTGGGTCCTTTGAAGGACCAGCCAATGCTCTTAATCACTGAGCTATCTCTATAGAGTTATTTTTTTTTTTACATCCTTAAATGCATGGCTATGTGTGACTAGCTTTGAAGTTGGGAATAACATATTTTTGCCCATACTTAAAGGATCCCTCTCATGAAGATTTCTTTGTTCCATAACACAAGAGTTAGCTTATGGGGACATTTGGAATATGCTTTGGCTGAGAATAGTGTTATTGCTATAGGGCTAGATTCCCCCCCTCCACCCCCCGCTTCTACAGCACGCTTCCCCCTCCTTCTACAGCACACCACTGGATTGATAATAAAGTAGGGAGCTTCTGGGGCTTGGCACTTTCAAAAGATTGCATATTTCTCACAGAGATATTACATGCATGCTGACTTTGAACTGACCTTCAAAACCATTTAATTTGGACTCTGTTCCACTGAGTATGTGCATATGTTTCATAAAATATTATGACAAAAATTTCTAGAGGTTTTATACTCTATTATATTATCGAGGTCTTACCCAGTGAACTTTGCCTTTCTTTGAATGTTATAATCTTTCCACTTAATACTTCTGAACAAAGCAAGCTGGCAGGGTATATTAACCTCTTAAAGTGCACAAGCCATATAAAGCTTGGCTTTGGCTAATAAGACCATAGCAGCCCTACTGAAACACTCACTTTAATGGTCAGAAACACTAGAATATGACTCAAAGATGGAAGGGATCCAAACATAAGCTAAGGCTGTAGAAGGCCAATGGCATTTCCCACTTGGAATAAATTGGAAAGGAGACGGTTGAGATGTAGAGCTTGGTAAATCTCCTGATGCAGCAGACAGCAGTCAGGATGGGGAACCTCAGTAACCTAGTCAACGCATTGTAATCCAAAGTTAGCAAAAGAATGTTTCCTTAAAAGGTCTTCAGATCTCTCCCATCCCCCTCTGCCCTCTCCCCATCTCTACCTCCTTCTCTTCCTCCCCCCCATCTATAGTTCTGCATATTTCCTGGCATTTCAGAACTTGGCATGATGTCTAACAGAAGCATCGTGGTTAGTTATTTCAAGTCTTTACCATATAGGGAGATCTGAGCTGTGTTTGTATTTTTACTTGACTTGTTTTTAATCAATAAACTTAGTTTTAAGAATAGTTTTTGACTTACAGATTGAGGAAATAGCACATCATACCTAGATTGATTCCATTATCAGTGTCTTATAGTATCAGCCTATCTGTGTGTGCATGTAAAAGTGATGTGCTTGTAATATGTGTTTGCATGCTCATGGGCATGTGTGTGTGTGTGTGTGTGTGTGTGTGTGTGTGTGTGTGTGTGTGTGTGCGTGCGCGTGCGTGCGTGCGTGTGTGTGTGTGTGTGTGTGTGTGTGTGTGTGTGTGTAGATCAGAGGTTGACATTGGATGTATCCCTTCATTGCTATTCACTTGCTTTTTTAACCAGGTCTGTTGATGAACCTGTAATTCCTCAAATCCACTCCTCTAGCTAGGCAGCTTCTCTAGGCATTCCCCGGTCACTGCCTGCCACTGGGATTATAGGTACACTCTCATGCCCATCTGACATTCACTCGAGTGTGGAGAATACAAACTCCAGACCTCACACTTGCTTCAGAAGTACTTCAGCCTCTCAGCCACCTCTCTTCCCTTCCGCCACTGTCAATACATCATGATTAATATGGTCTGTGGTTAACCTGAAAGTTCAGTGTAGCTGGAGAGCTTCTCTTCAGGTCCCACCAAGCCCCGGCAGTCCCTTAGCCCACTTATAAAATAAACATACAGATGCTTATATTATTTAAACTGCTTGGCCATTAGCTCAGGCCTATCTTTGTCTAGCTCTTACTCTTATGTTCAGCCCATTTCTATTAA